CGTCGAAGATTATTTTCCGCTTGGGTTTGTTTTTTCTGTTCATTAGCTAGAGTTGCTTGTCGGGATTGTAAATTATTCTTTTCTTGATTTAATGTTGCTCGACATTGATTTCGTTCAACCTCACTTTTCTGAAATTCTTGTTGAGTTCGATTTAATTCATTTGTATCTTGTTTTAATTTCTCCTCCATCTTCATTTTGTCCTGTTCAAATTGATTTATTGCTTCTTCTTTTTCTTTCAAATTTTGATCAAGACTTGCTTCCTGTTGTTTCGATTGGGTTAAATGATGTTGTTTGGCTTCCAAGTTTTGTCTAAATTAACAAAATAAATTTTTTAGAAGTTTCAGTTTTGAATCTTACTTGAGTAATTGAGTAGCCAAGGTGAGTGCATGTTGTTCTTTTTGCAGAGCAGCCATTTCGCTTTTCATTTGTGCGGCTTGATCGATTAATGATTGAAACGACGCTTTTTCTGTTTGGACTTCTTGTTGTAAACGTTGAACTTCTGCTTGGATTTGTGCGTGACGCTGTTTAAGCTCATTAATTTCATTTTGAAGTTGTTGTTTAAGTGCTTCGAATTCTTCCTTTTGATTTCGTTTCATTTCAATGACATTTTCAATGCGTATGATTAAATCTTCAATTCGATCAAATTCAATTTTAAGTGTTTCTTGCTGCCGTTCAAGTTGAGAGAATTTCTCTCGTGTTTGACGAATTTCTTGTTCAACTCTTTGAATATCGTGAAGCGTTTTCTGTAAGTCTTCTTCAATTCGTTCAATTTCTTGTTGAAGTCGATCGATCTCTTGTTGCAATTGTTGAATTTTTGCTTTTGTTTCTTTGATTTCTTGTTCTAAATGTTGAATTTGACGATTGAGTTCATTTATTCGTGCTTCAAGTTCTTGTTTAGCTCTTTCTAATTTCTCTTGTTCTTCAGCAAGATTTTCTAATTGTTCTTCATATTCACGAATCTTATCTTGAAGGTCTTGAAGTTTTTCGATTTGTTTTTCGAGAACATCTTCTTGTTGATCTAATAGCTGTTGTTGTCGATCCCTTTCGTCTTCTATACGTTCTTTTTCGGCACTTAATGCATTGATTTGAGCTTCGAGTCGTGCAATTTCTTCGTTAAGATGTTGGATTTGTTCATCTAATTCTTGAAGACGTTTCGTACAATTTTTCTCTTGCTCTTCTAATTTTTCAATCTCTATTTGAGCTTCACGAATTTCTTCATTGGCACGATCTCTTTGCTGTTTGTAAGTATTCATTTCTTTTTCAAGCTCTTGAAGTTGTTCTTGGAATTGCTTTCGTTCTTCGAAATGGTATTCATTAATCTCCTCATCGTCCTCTGTTCTTCGAGACATGGATTAGAAGATAATTTTAGACACCGATATAATCTATTTATATACGAACGAAAAATTTTCTATCAAGAAAAAAAATAATCTTCAAACCGAATAAATAATCGATGAGGAAGATAAATACGAATTACTCAATAGATTTCACGTCCTTATCAATAAGAAACCTACTCGTGTATTCGAATCAGTAACCGGCTACGGTTATGTTTTCTTGTTACAGACATACAGGGTAATTTTATCTGTCAATATTTATGTAGAATAAAAAAACCTTCTAAGATAAATGGCGAGATTCAATTGACAAACAAATGATTCCTTGCTTATCAGTTGTGTATTTATAGTTCTTGTACACGTTGTTGGAAAGTATCAGCAGATGTAAATTGTTTTTTTATTTCTTATTAGACTTCATCGAAAACAATTACTTGATTGACTATGTCTGTAATAAGAGTCGACCGGCTCAAGTTCATGAACTCTGTTCAAATGAACTAAAGAACTGTTAGAATAGTTCAGGTCAATGAATTGAACTTTTTCAACAGTTCCTTTCAGATGGACTGAACTGTTTGAAAAGTTCTTTTGAACGAACTGAACTTTCTCAAACAACTCTTTTCAAATGAACTGAATTACGCAAACAGTTCAGCTCTATGAACTGCTCCCGTTGCTCTTCAAGACCTATCATATACACTGTAAAAAAAGGTATTCTACCGAACCCTCCAAAAAGGTTTTGTAGGTGTCTAAAAGCTTCCAAATGCATCTAAATGCTTAAAAAAATGGTTGTTAAAATCAACGAAATCTTTAAAGGATTGAGACGCGGGCACACCTTCCGAACCATCTCCTACAAAATCTATTTAAGTTTCGTAAGAAAATATGAAACCTTCATAGTTCCCTAGCAAAACTTGTGGTTTCGTATGAAACTATAGTGCGAAACCTAGAGTTTACCAGGAAACTGTGAAGGTTTTGTATTTTATTACGAAACCTTTTTTTCGCTGTACGAAACTTAAATAGGTTTCGTAGGAGATGGTTCGGAAGGCGTGCCTGTGTCCCGATCCTTTAAAGGTTTCATAGATTTTAACAACCATTTTTTTAACCATTCGGAAGCTTTTAGACACCAAAGAAACCTTTTTGGAGGATTCGGTAGAATACTATTTATTTTAGAGTGTAGAGGTACTCATAGGTCCTCTAGGGTTATCATATAGGGATGCCGATATGGTCTGAAGGTCTACTAAATGGGAATACCAATAGGTCTAGGATCGATCCGAACAACAATGTTTCATCCTTACAATAGTGGAGAGTCAGTTTGCTTGATAAAATAAGCCTCTTAGTCGATCAGATTCGAGTAGGGTTTTTTTTCACTATTGCAAGGATGAAACATATTGTTGTTTGCGCCAATCATAGATGTATGGGGGCTCCTATAGAATAGGATATAGAGACCTACGGACACCCCTGTAAGGTAGAGCCTAAGGACCTATGGGTGCCCCTATAGAATAGGGCTTGAGGACCTATGAGCATTCCTGTAAGATAAGCCTTGAGGACGTACGGGTCCTTGTAAGCTCGTTGGATAGTTTCCGAACCCCAACTCCGAACTGAAGGTCGGGTTCGTTATATGACTAAGCTAGTCAAAGAAAAACGCCGGCAAAAAAGAACTGAACAAAGGAACCCGCTCACAACAATAGAGCTCATTATCAATAACTAGAGGCAGTCCTTTCGAACTATCGAGCAGCGGGCTGTCACGCAAATATTCTCTAGAAAACTGTCAAAAGAGAGAGGAATGTTGTGAGAGCAGATGTATCGAGTACTAATTACTTATTTTGGGTTTTTGTACACCGGTTATTTCTCTTACTCGTGGTTCCTCTCATCGGAGTGACTAAAAGAGCGTACAACATACCTAATCTATCGCTTATATACGAAGCTCGATGATAGTTTTTTCATCTTGATTGTGAATGAATGACAAACAAAGTCATTACTCAACGTTGATAAGCATTAGTCACTTTCTTTCCCATTAACAATGATACTATTTATCTTGGAAGATTTTTTCTTTCTTTGTAACTAACAGGTGAAAAAAGTTTCATGTAAATATACTTCTGAGATAATGTTACACAATACGAAGAAAGGATGAGGAACACTTTACGACTATTTCGGCCCAATTAGAAAACAAAGATTATCTTCCGTGAAGGTTTCAGCAATTGTAGAGCTCAAAGTTAGTAGTCACTTCTAAAATTTTCAGGCTGATCGGTGAAATGTTTGCCTTGCTTTGGTACTCAAGCAAATAGGCCTATAGGGTGTATAGAGAGAGACGAAAATGACTTATTTTTGGAAGGATTTTTACCTTGTTTTATAGTTAATTTGTATACTATTCGATGCAGAGTAAAATTCTGAACAGAACTATATAATTATCTTTAAGTAAAAATCAAAAATTGATTAGAAAAAGTTTTGAATACCGTTAGTTTGAGCTCATAAATAGGCTACATAGGAGTTTTGGATCTGATATGTACCTTCATTCTCCACTATTTACCCCAGAATCGGAGCCATTTTTCCAGGAGCACTAACAGTCAATAGCAGCCACAAAATTACTCAAATCAGTGTCTGTAAAAAAGCAGTCTGCTGATCGGTTAGATGAGACATCATACTATTGAAGATGGAGAATGCAATATAAGATGAATCCGTGAGGTTTCTATCACTTCTCTGAAAACTGGTTTTGTTCCATTTTAATAGTCTAGTTAGACGTAATATCATCGAAAATGGTCTTAGTTAACAATTAAGATCTTTTTGACATAAAGTATGAAAATTCAGATCGATTTTAGGAACAAGTATACATGTAAATAAACTCAGCAGCGAATTCGCTGATGAATCTGTGCTGGCCTTGTGATTTCTTATGCTGGATACGAAATTAAATTCTCCATCGAATGATGATACTTTCAAGGGGGAATCATCGGAAAGAAACGAGGTGCCTCGGTCAAAATACCGAGTTTTTCACTCCGTTTATCTAATAATCCTTGTGGATATTTGCTCCTGAGTCTGTGCTGGCTTTCTAATTCATTGTGCTAGATAAAAAATTAAATTCTGCACCCAGCACAACATATTAGAAGGCTAGCACAGATTCGGAAGCGAATATCAGCAAGGACTACTAGCTAAACGGGATCAAAAACTCAGCACTTTAGCGGAAGCACGTCATTTTTACCTTATGATTTCTCCTTAAAACTATCACTATTTGATGCCGAATTTATTTCTGCATCTAATACAACCAACGAAAAGACCATCAGCGACTCATGAGTGAAGGCTTAGAATTGATCAATCGTTTTTTTACATTTTAGTGAGTTCAATTCGTAGAGCTTGTTGAGTTATTAACTGATATAGTTAATGATTCGTGCCAACAGCGCGTTTAAGAGTAAATTTCTGATAATCAATGGTTACATTAGCCTATCCATACCATATCGGATCAAAGATTAAAAGTCCATGAAGGTGGAGTGGTGATTGACCTTTGAGTTTTCACTTTAATACATGTACACAAACATTCATCATGCAAAATGATATTGCACGCTAAGTGTTTGTGGTAAAGTGAAAACTCAAAGGCCAACTACCACTCCACTTCCGTTGACCTTCGATCTTTGAACCGAGATGGTATTGATAGGCTAATGCTAACTTTGATTATCAGAAATTTACTCATAAACGCGCTGTTGGCGTGAATGATTATTATATCAGTTAATAACTCAACAAGCTCTATGAATTAAAACCGCTGAAATTCAAAAAGCGATTGATTAATTCTTAGCCATTCATCGTCAGTGCATTGTAAAAGAACTGTTTATTAAACCGAACTATTTGAAAAAGTTCATCAATTCTGAACTAGAGCTGAACTTTTCTACCGGAAACCCCGCCCCCCCCCCCCCCCACCCCTCTCGCTCGCACACTTCTCCTTTACGCACAAGGTTGAGTGTAGCTTGGTATTAGATGCANTATTTTGACCGAGGCACCTCGTTTCTTTCCGATGATTCCCCCTTGAAAGTAAGTATATCCATTATCCTTTCGTTCAGTCAAAAAATTTAGTTAATCTGTTTACTGTAATCAAAATTACTATTGTCATTTCGAAATGAACAAGGTAAATGATTATTTCGGTTTTAATTTTGAAAATTAGATCGTTGGAGTAAAAGTAATGGATAATGATAGCCCATTATTATCTCGAACTTTATCGATTGAATCTATGGACGGCAAAGCAGCGCAGCAAACAGATCAAAATCAAGAGATAAGTGAAGCATCACCAATTGAGAGCGAAAATCAGTTTATCTCTCAAATTTGTGAATCATTATCGCTTGAAGAAAGGGAACATGAGTCGCGTATTATAGCTAGACAATTACTGATCAATGGCCGGCAAGAACTGGTACATCATCGTGACAATATTGCACCCATTGATTTTGAGAATCAAATGGATAGGAAAGGAAACTCTACATTACTCGAAATCCTCAAAAGTTACTTTCAGCTGCAATGGCAACGAATTCCATTTGATTGGTTCAATGTATTCATCACTGAACAACAATCTGAAGACAATGATAGATACTATCAACAAGTTTTGACGCGTACAGCTGAGTATGGACAGAAATACATGAGGGAATGTCCAGTGTATTCCATTGTTTTGCAACTTGTTTTTATATTCAATGATGATATTAATATGGATGAAGCCAAATTTGACCAAGTTTGGAACACATTTGCCATGGAGGGATGTAAAACTACTTTGAAAAAATGGAAAAAGTATATTGTATCTGCGGTTATGAAAGAACTTGTTGACTCATTGAATAGTCCACTATTTCTTGCGCTACGTGAATATTTCCGTGAGCCAGTTCTCTCATTATTCGAGCAAAGCAACATTTCTAATCGACGAAATCTTTTAGAGATTGCACTCGATTGTTTGGCAAATGACGGTTGGGTAGTAGGTTTAAATGATGTCAAAGTCAAAGAACTCATCTCTCCAAAGAACTATACATTGTTGATGGATAACCTTAGGAAATACCTTAAGATAGAATTACCATTACCATTAGTACCTAACCCCGGACCCACGATTGATGATTTTCCGCCGCCTGCAAATGATCCTATTGTGGCGTATATACCTGAGTTACCGCTACAAATTGTCGATAATCACAAATTAGAAGTTATGATTCGTCAATGTTTAGAACGCAAACATAGGCAAGAAGTTGTTGATATAAAATGTGACACTCATTTAGGAATCGGTATGGTTCATCTACAAAACTGTAAAGAAAGAGATCATTTAGTTAAAATCATTGAATCAATTATATTGGATTCGGGAGAAAAAAATAATATAATAATTAAATTCGTATCAGATCTCGAACTTATTTCGTATGTGGTTATTGACTCAACGAATTACAGAGATCTTCCATCTCCCAAGGAGGTAGCTCAACGATGTGTAGAACTGTACAGATTCAGTCGTTCCATTCTATGCGAACAACTTTCCATTCAATTTCCAAATATATTTCGAATAGTTTCAAACTCATTAGAAGAACTCATAGAAGCAATACCAAGGAAAACGTTTTCTATAAATGGTCAAAATGCTACAGTCTATTTCCGAGCTGATTGTTGTTTTCTGGAGGAATTACCTGGGCATACGAATATAAATCAATTACGACATGCGATTACCGATCAAATTTCACAAGAGAATACCTCAACAGAGTCAATTTATATTCAATATAACCAAGCAACAACAAATGCTGTTGTATTAACATGCTCGAGAGCTCGAAGATGGGCCTTATTCAATTCGATCAATCTGGACGGACAAAGAATTCAAAAGAAAAATAGTCTTCCCTATCGTCTTATTGTGCGACCGATACCTAAAGATTTATCTATCTCTCATATTAAAAACCACAAGATATTTGAAAATACTGTTGATCAAGTTTTAGTTAAGAACAATCACCTGGTTGTTGAACTTTCCAACAAAATTGTGTATGAAAAGTGTGTTAATCAAGGTGCTCTACGTGTTGGTGATCAATATCTATTTATCGAAATTAACAATTCTAAAGAGAAAGAAATCGATGCTGAAAATTGGTACGAAACAGAGATGTGTAAGCATGTGCCAGATATTATGCCGTTTATTAGAAATCCAAAACATCCTATCTTACATTGGAAATGGAATCCTCAGGCCTTTCAAGAACAATATCGACGTTACGCTACGATACAGCGAAGAGGTATGACAAGTGAGCGCGATCGTCATGGAATAGATGACAATCAAAAACGGCATCTCTTACGAGTGACAGTGATGTTGAATACTATCGGTACAGTGTGGGAGGGAGGTTATCGTGTGGGCGAACGGGAGATTAAAATAAAAGAAGATCTGTTAAAAACAATTGTTTATGACCATCGATCGAAGTTAGAGCGTGGTGCAACAATGTCATTGTTCGAAGCAACCAAAGTTCCATATACCTCTACATTGATTAAAGTAGTCGATGAGGATTGTCTCTATGTTTATCAGCAATTAGTTACTCAGAAATGCCGTCCTGTGCTTCTTAACATGGCCAATGCCGATTTACCAGGAGGAAGCTATCGTCAATGTGCTGGCGCTCAAGAAGAGACTCTTTTTCGTCGTTCGAATTACTTTCGAAGTCTCGATACTGATCTGGATAATGGAAAATCAACTAGTCGTTTTTGTTGTAATTCGAATTGTGAATTGGAAATTTTGTCGGAGAGGCAACAAATGTATCCAATGGAAGAATTTGGAGCTATCTATACATCGGGACTCACCATTTTCCGGCGGGCTGAGGACACTGGATATGCCTTTATGGATGAACCATTATCTAATGTATGTGCTATTGCGATGGCTGCCTATAGAGATCCAAAGGTGGAAAATAATCGTCTAACTCGGAAATTCTCCATCGGAATGCGCAAGAAAATTGAGAATATCTTTGCCATTGCTTATCATCACAAACATGACTGTCTCGTTTTGTCTGCTTTGGGATGTGGTGCTTTCAAAAATCCTCCGAAACATATTGCAACAATCTTCAAGTCCGTTGCTGAACAATATGCGGGATTTTTTAAGAGCATCTATTTTGCTATTGTTGACGATCACAACACTGGTTTACAATTCAATCCACAAGGAAATTATCGTCCCTTTAAGCAATTGCTCAATGAGATAGAATTGGAACCAACGAAACACAAAATGAAAGATATGATGATTGGTCCGTGGAGAATTCTGAATATGCCAAATCCGCAACAGGTTACGTTGAGTGATATAAGAATTTCTTATCTAATACCATGCTATCATGGAGGAAAATGCAACGACATAGAAGATGCCCAACATTTTCGTGAATACTCTCATCCATCATTGTGTCCATCAATGGGCAGCGAAACAACCTGCCAATTATCGAACGATGAAGATCACGTGCTCTGGTTTATCCATCGACCCAAGTATCCGTATGGTAGTGACTGCCAATTAATACGGGCAGATGTCAAACATCCAAAACAATTCGAACATCCACAATATATTCAGGTTCAGCCGACGAAACTTGTTCCATGTCGTGATTCAATCAATTGTCTTCGCCAAGAAGATACCGATCATATGAAAACATATTCACATCCTTGTCCATACGCTGAGTTGTGTCGACAGAAAATCAGCGAGCCTTATCTGACACATAAATCTTATGTTGTAGGTCCCTGTTTAAATGGGAAATCGTGTAGAATACTCGATGACCCTTTACACCGGGCAAAGTATCGGCACATCGACATGCCTGACTTACTCATTCCATGTCGCTATCAACAACAATGTCATGACAAGTCGTATGAGCACAGGGTCAAATATTCGCATGGGGAATATGTTGAACTATTACCTAAAGATACATATTCCAAGTACAAACATGGCATTCAGTGTCGAGATATTGGTAATCTGAATCATCTTTCGAAATATTCGCATCCTGATTACTGAGTATAAGTCAGAAAATAACATTTGACAGGATGGGTTAATAGTTTACTCATGTCTATTTCTGTGCTGATAACCCCATTGATTTCACACAATATCTCGAATGTGTTATCTTTCACATATCCGTATATATTGTATCTTTTCTTCATATCATATCATACAAGAATTGTGTTTCATTCTCCTAATACTTCATTGTTACTATTTGGGTGTGGGTGGGTGGGTGTGAGTGTGGATGAGTGTGGTTGTTCTTCTTTTCTGCCAGCATATCCACACACCCAAAGAAACTCTCACACCCACATTCACACCCCCACCTACACTGACTTATACCCACATTCACACCCACACCAGTACACACGCACACCACACGCGCACACCCACACCTACACCCACATACTCACACCCACAAACTCACACCCACACTCACACCCACACCTACACCCACATACCCACACCCACAAACTCACACCCACACTCACACTCACACCCACCCCCCTCCCCCCACACCCCCCCCCTCACGGTCCGCCCCCCC